TACTTGGACAGATATTTTAGTATCATTAACCGATAAGCAACCGTATGTTGCTTAAAAAGACTAAATTGAATTAAAATTTAACATAACTAAAAGTAAACTAATAAACCAAAAAATAAACTAAACACTAAATTAAAACTTAAACTAATAAAACTAAAAGTACCCACAGTAAGCTAAAGATTTCCGAGTTTTTGAGTGCAGTAATAAGCACATATACGCCTACTAAATAACCTATATTAGGTAGATAATTATAAATATCAAACGACGTCAGCATTTGAGAATGTCGCCTGTCTTTTGAAATTTTGATGAAGCAATTAATGGTTTACCTGCTTTACAAAAAGGCGGTTTGCTTCCCAAAGGACATTGGCATTCAAAGTTGTCTGCTCCCTTTGGCACACAATAACCGTTGTCCTGACACGGTTTATTAGCGCAGATGTCGCGTGCGCAATCACCTGAGCACAAAAAGAATCGTAAAAAATTCTGGTCAAAAGCAGAATAAGAACCTCTTTAACGTTTGACTTCAGTTGAATGATCCGCCGTACTGGGCCGCAACCAAACGCACACGTACTAAAGGTAACAGCAAATTTCACTGTCATTTTTGCGTACTTCAAACGTCTTTTGAATTTACAAACCATAATTTTTTGAACGCCGGAAGGTAAATAGTTAATAGTAGGTTTCGTGGCGCAAGTATGCTTAAGTATCTAATATATGCCTTCTAGTAGGCGTACATATGGTTATTTATTGTGGCATAGATGCGTACACCGATCTCTCAGAGGACCCACTCGTCTCTCCATATTGCCATCGGAGCTCTCTCTCGAGCCTCCACCGCAAGGCGGCTAGGATATAGGCAGAAGGTTATTTATTTCATTGCAAAGGCATTTTACCGTATTTCGAATCATCTCGTTGCATCCCATTGCTGAGCGTTGGTTCACTTTGCCTTACTGTTTTATTGGTTTATTTTAGCTAAATCAATTGCACATACCAAACTAAAATCTTTGTTGCCATGCGATTACTTTTCGACTACAGGAAGTAGAAAACCTGCAATATTCCGTTAACCGCTTTGGTTGCTTAGTTCGGTAGATTCCATTGCAGTCCCTACATGGAAATCTTTAGTGGCCTGCAATTGCTTATTCATTACAGGAAGTATAAAACCTGTGCATAGTAAGTTAGCCGCTCTGATTATTTATTTCGACGTTCTGCATTGCACTCCCACACGGAAATTTATAGTGATCTGCAATTACTTTTTGACTATAGAAAATACAAAATTCTTACAGATTCTGGCGGCCGCTTTGGTTATTATTTCTATATGCTTAATTGCAGGCCCCACACGGAAATCTTTAGTTTCTGCCGACAGTGCTTTTAAATATCATAAACAGCTGCGTTTCATAACCGTTACTAGGAGTCCTAGACATTGAAATTTTTGCATCACATCATCTGAATTAATAAAGTTGGATATTTCTTCTGACTTATTCATACAAGTGCCTTGAATTCCTGTTTTTCTCCTCTTCGCTTCAGTCATTGACCTATACTTAATATGGATAAAAAATTATGCATTGACCATTGTTCTTATAACCGTGATTGTCATGAATCACATATGTTTCCAGCAAAAATGCTACGCTTAAGTGAATGTAAATAAATTCATATTTTTTATCTTCAATTATCTTTCAACATTAGTCTACTCCCTTTTCATTTGCTTTACAAATTGCCTTCCTTTAGCCAATCTAGCCGCTTCCAGTTTTTTTGATTTTTAACGGGGTCACGCGGGGCTGATCTTTGCAGGGTTGTCCATTCGCCTGTTTCTTTTTCATTTATCGCTGCTATATATTAGCTTATTATAATATTTTGTTATACTTTTATCTGTTTTTGTTTGGTTCTCTTTTCAGCATGACATAATGACTACTGTTATAGCCCATTCCTAAGACATGGTCTCATAAGCCAGAATTCTGGGGCAAGGAGTTTCTTACGTGCACTACGAAGCCAATTGTTGCCGTCACTCTGCACACTGTTTTGAAAAAATAACGACTTGATTAAGGCCAAAATGTGGATTGAATGATTTGTCTCTATCCCCACTGGCTTAAGTTTTGTGCCCGGCGTACAAAAGGTTTACTTGGCCTTTTATTGTGGTACATGCAGTTCACAATCTGTTAAGCTTCTATTCTGATTACCCGATGTCCAGGCATGAGTTTTGCCTGTTCACTCGAAATAGTTCAAACAGTAACGAGATAGTATGGCCCCTCTTCGTGGTCATCCCCTAAGACTACGCCCCGGCAAAGCAAGGAACGATTGGACGCACATTTTTCTTCAGTTGCAGCGTGGAACGTTTTTTCCGAAGAGGTTGTCCTCTCCACCCGTGCTTATCTATTTATGAGCAAACGGTGCATGCATCAACCGGCTTGTTCACCAGCCACCCTCTAATTCAAGGGACAGACATACACAGGCACGCAGATATTACACATACGTATTATACTACTCGTGCTGAACCAGTAGTTATGTTTTATTGGAATTTCGAAAAACAACAACTGCTCTGTTTTTGCCTGCAAGCATGTAATTGACGTATTTTTTTCTCATAATGAACATATAACAATATATAGATATGTACTATTGCATTAAGTGCTAATCAGTTATTCTGAAAAATGCATTAGAATATGGAGGATAACTTGATTGAGGTTGAAATGTTTGGTATTATGTAGCAGACTCACAAGACGCTTCGGTCATGTCAGGATGTCGGTCTTTGAACGAGATTCTTTTAGGCTGTCTGTAAAAAGTATGCTCTGAAAACGGGCTACTATAGTAGCATGCCTCTTCTCTATCGGCTTACACTGGTTTTATAATTCAAATATATATTTTATAGAAAACGCGCACAACATACTTTATCTTTTATTTGTTTGATGATGAGGTGTGCTTTCTTGGGCACTTTTATCGCGCGCAACTATTCAATTATATGGCTATTGAAATAATTATTTCTTTTATTTTCTGTTTTCATACATTTTACACTTTTTAGCGGTTTTTCTTTTAGTTTATATGCCCCCTCAATTTAATCCTTATTATCACCCGTCCCGTAGTAAAGAAGCGTGGGGCTTTCGCGTGCTGTTTGGGGCCCTAAATTGAACTTTCACCAAATTTAGCATTGGATGTGGAGCACGTTGTATATTTTACAAGCAATTTTAATAAATGGAGGAATACAATGCTTTACTATTTGGCCTTCCACAGTCTTAAAAATGCATAGTTTGAAAATGTTTGAACATTTAAACATACCATTTCTTGTTGTATAAAGTTCAAAGAAGACGTAATTTTCTATCACAATAATAGGTAACAAGAATAATTTGATACACCATTTCCATGAAAGTTATCTGAATGTATAAGGGCATTAAAAATCGATGAAAAAATTAATGGTAATTAAGTAATCATTTTTACAAAGCAAAGTGCTCCTAGACGGGCCGAAACTAGCTCATTCAAAAGCCGCCAACTGGCAATGACAGAACAATCTTGAGATTCGGTTGCTCGATAATTACTATTATAACCCTAATTGAGTAGTTGTCTCGAATCAAAAACACATTTTAGAAAGTCGATCAACATTTAGGGGTATAGAGCATCAAATCTTAAATGTACACTCTTTTTATACTGCATGGAATCTATAAATTCTGCAGTGGGCGCCAACTCAAGAATTACTGGTTTCATTCGAATCGTCAAGAAGGGTTACCAATAATTGGACTTTACCAATTATGTCTGTAAGCTTAAGGAATTATCCAAAAGCTTATTTGCCGTGAAATTATTTTACATTTTTTATCCAACTGTCACGTTTTAACGATCAGTTTTGGATACGTATTCACGTCAAAATAAACGGAGGCAGTAACTATCAGTTGTAAATAACATCCATTTTCAATTGCCGTTCTCCTGTCCTCAGACTGGACAGAGCTGAGAGTTAAACCCGAGGGCAGTTAGTTGCAGATTCAGGACCTTATCATTGAACCGCTGGCTTAAGTTTGATCTGCCAGGCAACGGAGACTTTGCAGTAGCATTTTCAAAGATTATTCCCAATACGACAATCCAGTTGAAGGATAATGAGTTCACAACGGCCACACAACTTACGAACTCCGTATCCATCGACGGCATCCCCGACAAACTTTTCTCTTCGTGGGTCAAGCAGCTTCCCATTGAGGTATATCTCGTCGAGACAGCCGATGAAGCTGTCCAGTGTCATACCCATGACTGGCAGTAATTGAGGTTGGCCTTTAGCTATTGCAGGATGTCCGCCAATGAAAACCAAATGTTCGAG